AAAATCTCGCCTACGATTATGTCATACGAGATTCGCAAGCAACTTAACGACTGTTTACACGGAGAAATATGTAGTATAGAGATTCTTGCTTACGAGTTTTCGACTTGTCTAAACACAATCTCGTATGACATTTTTTCATGTTCATACGATTATCGTACAAATCGGTTCGAACCGTTTTAAGTGAGAGAATTGCCATTCGAGTTCAGTAATTACTGCGGTATTGTCTATGAATATATCAAAATGATGCAAAAATCATTGAAATTTGGAACTGCGATAATATTAAGTTCATTGCACTGTATAGAAATACTTTTTTTTTTTCTTTTAAATTTTATAACATTTCTTAACCCTTTTTTTTCCTTTTCGCTTCCTTAATTCTTGTCTTAGAAAAGCAGTGATCATCTTAACACCCTCGCGCACTGTACTCATGGTAGAAATGGCTGGCACAAAAACTCGAAATACGATTTTTGCTTTCAAGTTCTGTTTACACGAAGACGTTCAATATTGAAAGGCGAGGCGATAATCGCGAATGTTTAGATGAGGAATTTTTTTTTATAATTCTTTCGATAATCGTATCTTCGAGACGAGAAACTCTCTCCATCTAAATGGGCCTTAAGTGTGGAGATGACGGAAGAAAAAAACAATGGAAATGCCTTAAGCTTCGATTACTATTACATCGAATACGATGTCGCCAAAACTCGCAAACTCTTGAAACACTACAAAATCTTGATATTGATTAGTCATAGTTTCTTTAAAAATAATATTTTAACTTTATCCTGTTGGCATATCGTTGAAATTTCAATACCTATTATTGCAAATTACGACGTTTTGATATTATATTGAAATTTCAATCAATGTGCTGCCATCTAGAGATTAATTGCTGAACGACGACGAATTGGCGTTATTAATTTAGTTCTCCAAAAAAGAAGCGACCATATTGCAGGGGTAAAAGCTTTACTATCGTTTGTTGTAACAAAAAAATTATTTCGATAAACAGAAAACTGAAAATTTATAAAAATAAGAATTTTCGATGATGTCAAATACCACCACGGGTAATATTTTTGGAGCAGCTATCGTTTTTGCACTCGAAAACAGCAGAATAAGGTATTTATTTAAAATTTTAGAGAATTTGCACGAAAGAATGACACAACCATAGATTTAGTATACATGGTACCCATAGATTGGCAATGCAAGTGAAAGAGCGTTAGTATACACGTATGTTAGGGCGAGACGAGACCACTTCATTATACGCTATGAGCCTGTATGAACCTAGGGTCAGCCGACAACGAAACAAATTTCGTTTATTTTTGAAAAATAATTGGTTATAAAATGTGAAATAGTGTTAAACGGACGTTTATTAGTCATGGTAACGTGTTCAGTGCCCGGATGTAACTCATCTAAAAAGGAAAACTCGCAGAATTGTACATTTCACATGTAAGTACTATTTAAATTTTTAGCTGTCTAAAAGCACTACCACAAAAGTTTTTTACATAAATATATCCATAAAATTATACCATTCAAGTGCATTAATAACCCAAATGTATACGAATTCAATTAAAAAATATATCAAATACGTGAATTTCTGAAATTCATAACCCCACTTTCATAGAGATTGACGCAATCGATAATATGTTATCGAGATGTCATTAACTGAAAAAAAGAAAGGCAAAGGCGTGGCTTGCATACAGCCGAAATCATCTTCATACTTAATATTATTGAATCAGAAATTTCTGGTTTTAGTACTTTATATTTAATTAATATTGCATTAGTGCATTATTTTTTGTCTACATTAAAACGAAAATTTCTTTTAATAGCGTAGTTGAGGCACCCATTTTTTTTTTATGTCAATTATTTTGTTGATTCAGATTTTCTCAAAACATTGAAGTACGACAGAAATGGCTTATAATGCTAAAGAGAGAAGACTGGGTTCCCAAAAAGTTTTCAAAAATATGCAGCAAACACTTTGAGGAAAAATGCCTTTCCTTTAGAGGCAAGCAAAGAGTAAAGCTACGTTCTGGTTCTGTACCCACATTATTCATGCGGGTATGTCTTACTATTAATGGATTTTTGTGTAGTACTACTCTCGTCAACAACAAATCAGCGATTTATTGTTGTTAGAGTTCTGTTCTGTTCCGAAATACGATACTCGTATAGGATCACTCGTGTGTCCATCTGTCCGTCTGTCCGTCACAGCCAATTTACTCCAAACCTACTGGACTAATAAGAAGAAAAAATAATTTTGAAATAAATATAGCTGAATGTGGCAAAGTCTGTGGATATATCCATAATTTAAAATACAACTGTAAATCCTTGATAGAGTCGTAAAAAAATTGGCTTCATCGGGTTTTTGTCTAATACAATGGCTTTGAAGTGTCTTTATGTTGATTTGATAGAGTCAGAAAAATTAAAGTTTCTTCCAACTTATAAATTATCGCAAGATCACTTGGAAACATTTTTCAGTGCAGTACGTGCTAAGGAGGTTTTAATAATAATCCAACAGCCAGGCAATTCACAGCAGCATACAAACGACTTATTTGTCACGTCGAAGTCTAAATCAGTGAGAAAGCAAATTGTTGGTCCAGCATCGCTTCGAGGGCCGCAGTTGGAGTTGTCCTCATGCAGCCAATCGTCGCCATGCAGGCTAGTCTTTGGAATTTGTCCAGCTTGTTGGTTGCAGTCGTCAGCTTGGTTCCTGGCCACCATACTATTGCGCCGTAACTGATCATGGGTCTTATCACCGTTTTGTAGAGCCATAGTGTTATCTTGGGTGAAAGTCCCCATTGTTTACCTACCATCCTATGGCACTGCCAAAAGGTGATAGTAGCTTTCTTAATTTTGTATTGAATCATTAATTAATTTAGATAATTAATGAATAATAATATATATATAATAAATGATAAGACATATTGGTGAATACGACGAAGTGAAATGCCGGTGTAATATGTTAATCGATATTAAAGTTAAATCAGTGGATGGCGCAACACTATTTATCTTGCACACATGCACACAGATGTATTTTTGTTTTGGTCTCGTCTCCAATACATCAGGGCCAACCTATGGATATACTAAATCAATGGACACAACCATACCATACAAAGCGCAAATGGCCGACTGAACTCAGATAAGTCTTTCGAGACCTATAGCTGGCACGTGTCGGACTCTAATTAACGACTTCTACTGTATTTATTGTTCTGTGATGTTCTGTGACTAGCAATCCCCTCGAGCTATTGATCCGTGCTTAAAGTAACAGCCCGTAAATTGAAGCAAATTTGTAACAAGTAGCTTACTCGTGTCATTGACGTTGTTGATGACCACGCTGGCCCTCAAGTAGACGTGCACGTGTGCCCACACGAGGTACAATGCCGCCTCGACGCAATGCTCGCAGTATTGCAGCTCGAGTCTGCGTAAGTGCACGCGCTCTCGCAGCAGGGTCACCACTTGCGCACGCGTCTCTACGGGTGACGTGGGAGCCGTGTCTTGGGGAAGGAGCTTTTTCAAGTCTGTAACATTTGAAATACATTAAGTACTATTGGGAAATGTGGGTGTTCTTTAGTTAAGAGCAATAAGATCCTTTGTTACTATAAATGACGTGAAGCAGCTTTTTAATTTCTGCTCGAGACGGAAACATAAACCTTTCCGTATTACGAAGGGTGGGGCCAGACGAGCGTAATTCTGTGAGTTGTCAGACCAAACTATTTTATTTAGTTGCATCTAATACCAAAGTGACCACTTCCCTCACTCCTTCTTCCACCCGCACCAGTCTGTGACAGGATGCGATCGAAATTCAGTCATAATTACGCGTCAGCAGACAGCTCATTTTGCGTCGCCGTGAGACACAAATCGGACGCAAATATGAAACCAAATGCAACGTAGATTAGGCAATTCAAATAAAGCGACTCACAACTCTGTCTGTCCTCACCCTAAACGTAAATCTCAAAATAAATCGTTTAGCATTAGCCGTTCTTTTATTAAAAAATAGATTTCAATTAATTGTTCCTTAAAACATTAATTTAGTTTTTAACCACTTTCGCTCAACTCGTGGCTGCGTCTAACGGATGACACTTACCGTCCGAAGTCAAGGTAGGCACATTGGTTAACTGATGCTGCGCAGTAGCCAGCAACTTCGCGAGTAAGTGCGCACGCGCCGTGGCGTGCTGTAATAGCCGCAAGATGGCACCGCAGTGCGGGCCGTCGGCCGTCGTCGTATCGTGGTCGTTGCCGCTCGGGGCGAGACTTGGCCGGAACAGCACTCGAGACCCGTCACGTTCCAGAATATTACGGGCGTACGTCAGGAGATTGCATACGATCTATAGGAGAAAAAGAAGAAACGTTCGCTTTTAAGTTATATCATTCTACACAGCGTTTAAAGTTCAAAATTTATCCACATTTACTAATAAAGAATAACTGCGCGATTGGCAGTTTTATTACACCGAAGCTTTGGATGTAAATATGTGTTAATTAAATTTATTGAACGTCAGGACGTTTCACCAGCATGATATTCAGTTATTTTTTGTGAAATTACTCCACTAGGTTGTTATAATTACTAATACAAGGATAGAAACTTAGAAAATATTCCTTCGGTTCTGGCTGGATTCGAATCGATTCCAGGAAACCGTGTCAGACGCTATGCAAACTAAGACACGCAACGAAACAGTGGACCTTTGTTTTGATTTTTTTTAACGACTTCTTTACCGTACTCCTTCTATAAGAAATCTGTTTCTCTACTACTACTACTAAACACCCGACTAACCCTGTACCGCAACGTGATTTTATAGGTATTTACGTATTTAAATACTTTAGCCATTTAAAAAATAAACATGAGGCAACCTATATTTTGGACTGTTTAGAAAATAAACACTGAAAAAAAAAAAGAAATATTATCCGCATTGATGACGAAATGGGTATGTCCATACTAAGAAAACGCTCAAATTTGTAAGTACATTAAGTGTGACCCTGTTGTGTATGCATACCTACATAGCATGTGTCATATTATGCTCGGT